TTCCCGCCATATCCGCCACTTTCTACCCCACCGCGCACTACTTTCTTCTACTAACTCTCTTCCTACTAACGTATCGCTCAATCCGACTGCCCCATTCGGTTCGCAAGGGCTTAAAACCCCGAAAACACATCCTTCCTCCCTCGATTYTACCTAAGATCGAGAGAGCTACACACTTTTGACCGCGCCTGGCTCCGCCATCGCCCACTATACTCCCGTATGCACCTATCCAGATTCCGYGTCCCGATTCACTCTTCTCTCCCACTGCGCCTTTGCTCAACCCACCAGCGCTCCACTGCCTGGCACTCTGCCCCCTGTTCCCTGCTCTCGGTAGCCGTGGTGGCCCTGCGCTATCCCTTATCTATCTCGGTTACGTCGCCCATCGCTCCTTCACCCGTTACCGTGCCACCTCACCCGCTCGCGCCCGACTCACTTTCCCGTCCCGATTCACGCCCGTCACCGCGCTTCCTGTTCGTTACAGCGCCAGCACCGCCCCGCCACACTATCTCTCAGCCGTGCGCCCGAAGCGTTCCACAAAAGAAGGAAACGCTTACACATACGAAAAAAAAGGACACAACAACCTCGGGTGCTCGGCCCCCCCGTGATTTATACGTGTCGATCTTTCGTTGGGACCGCGCCAACCTTCTCTGTATCGTTCCTACTTTTAACAGATGTCCTACGGGATTTATGCCGGAACAGTGCCCCCACGGACGCGCCAGGGCCACTCACCTCGTGGCTCGACCGTTCGTGGGTGCGCCCACTATGGCAGGCCCTCGGCCGTATCTCGACAGGAAGCAGGATCCCAAAAAAAGAGTGAGGTACAACCAAAAAAAAAACAGAAATATAAAAATTCATATACCTTGTTTTTACTACGAGGCCTAAAACGGGAACCGGGAGCTACCGACCCCTCACCGGTTCCCTAGGTCGGGCCCGTCACTACACGTGTTGCAAAACTGAGGGGGATAGCCACGTCGGGCCCTCAACCCCTCAGTTTCCTCCAACGCTCCGCTGCTCCTTCGTTGCCGCACGCTGGCCTCGATCCCTGAACCTCCGTATCAATAATCCTATGCCATAACCTATAGGGCTAAGCCCAAGCCTGAAACAGCTAGGCGCGGATTTCGGTATAAAGTGGTACCGCGCGGTGCCTAGACCTGAGAAAAAACAGCCTAGGCCCCCCTTTCCCGCCTGCAACCGGCGCGCCAACACTAGATACCCGCACCGGCCTACTCGGATCGCGTCGTCGCCACCCCGTGTGCCTAGTGGCGTGCCAGTCCCACCGTCGGTCACGCACACCACCCAAAGACGGGCTTTCATCCCCTAAACAAAACCGCAGCACGGTCCAGGTCGGTCGACTAGACCGGCCGCTTACTCAACCAAAAAAAATCACACGCGCGCCTTAAAACCGCGCGCCCACATACCTTCTAACTTAGATAGGACGGGTGCCGAACGAGGTCGCGCCTCGCACGACTTATTTCGACCAAACTCATTGTTCCCTGTCACTTGCAAAAACCAGGGCGGATACCCTTGTAAGGGTATTCGCGCCGACAACCTACCGGACTAAATTAAGCGACGTCCCCGTCGCTACGCCAAATCAGAAACTATAAATTCATTCACACTACAAATGCTGACGGGAATGAAACCAATTCGATTAGTCGACAGACTCAGGGTTGAGGCCTCCAACACTCCATGCCGACATAACTATATGCTGCCAGGGTTTCAACCTGGGTTTCCAGTGTCCTGACACTAGGACGCAGGTGTATTACGCATCAATACTACATCATAAGTTCCAAAGGCCACCTCAAGCCGCCCTCTCTCCTTCGTCCTAGACAAACGCCGACTTTTCATTGGGTGTCCCAGTTAGACTCTCCCTTGCAAGCAGAGTCACACGGGGATGCGGGCCTTAGACGAGACCTCACCTGCATTGTTATCTTAGCGGCAGTCCCTTCGTTGGTTATGCAACAATAGGTTTTCTCCTGATAGGCATTCAATCAGGGCGCCCAAACGACTCGACTCGTATCCCCCGTCATTCCACCAGAGTAATTTCCTCGGGGCGTGCATAACCTCTTTAGACTCTTACTCTGCTGGTAGACGTGGGCCCGCAGCCAGGTTGTGCCGGCTTGCAGCCATCCAATACGGGTTGCGCCCCAGAGGTGCTAACCTTTACCGTTTAGCTTGGTATTCCTTAATATGCCTTAGGATTAGCACAGGTGTCTAGGCGGTGCGTCGCAAAACAAACTCACAGGGCCATTGCGGGACGACGCAGGGACCCGCCCCATTTTTTTTTTTTTTTTTTTTTTTAACATAGAGGGCACGACCCCTTCTCACAATCACAAACAATTTCACCGCTAGACTCACACGAGGCCGTGGCCTACTGACTTGATCAGAGACAACAGGCCACACATCCCATGACATCTTTATGCACTGACTTGCGACCTTCTCAATTCCACCAATGATTCCAACTTGTAACTTTGGTCCCTCTCGTTAGACTTTATCATTCAAACATTGCTTACCATGTCCTTAAATCCATCACCCATTTTTCACATGAAGGGGGTCTCTCTCAACAGGTCTCCCCAACCACCCCTCTCTTTACAGGATAGACTATCACGCGACCTGGGTTACACCGCTGTCAATAAACAACATCCCCACCTTCCATAATCTAAGGGGTCTCAATTATAGAACAACTTAATTGGGGGGCCTTCTTATGGGCCGTCTCCCCAATTTTAACGCAAAACAACTCAAACAAAGGGGCCAACTTATGGGGCCCCTTCAACCATAAACATTCCGCATCATAAACATCCGAGCCTTATAGCCTCGCAAGACCTCTCAGGGTCCTCATACATCTGTCACAAAAACGACCGCGCTGCCTCCTCTTACACTTGGCCGTTCTGCCCGCCCATGGGCAGGCCGCACGAGTATACCGAAGAGTAGACGGCAATCACAATCACACCATACACATACATGAGATGTATCCCCCACATTTCTCACACAAACCCCTCATTCATTGGGATAAAGCCACACGTGTGAGAGTGATCGTGATCGTCACAAGAATAAGTCTCACAGAGTCTGGAATCAAAGATATACTCGGGAGCAAAATATCTCCCTCAAGTCTCAATACAACACCCAACTCAAACCCTCAACACACAACTCGTAGGATACATTTGGGAACAAAAATGCCTGCCCCGAAAACACTCAAAAACTCATTCCACTGTCTCACTCCGCAGGATAGACTCACATCCCAAGTGTCATGGACTCTTTGAACCTACTCAAAGGTACAAGTAAAAGTATCTGAATCACACAGCTGAAAATGCAAGTCACGTATGTCGTAGACATCATACAACTAAGTCTCATCCCCTAGACCGCATCACACATAAAGCTCAAGCCGATCATACACCGCCACCTATGTATACACAATTAGACGGGACTCGCCTGACTAACTCAGAGTATGTACACCCCTATCACGGCCTCTGCGTACAGAGGAGCTCTAATCCTACTGTCATATAGATGGACCAGCCCCTACTCACTCATAGCCTCCTGGTTCTGCCTATATAACTGTGCCCTACCCCCATCTGGGGCCCGCTCTACCACTCGACCCCGCCTGTCGTACATTCTCCCACCACTCTCTGTTACTCTTCCAGCCGCCTTGTCCTTAAGGAACTTCGGGCATTCAAGAGCTCTATGTACGCCGTCCTTGCAGAAGAAGCACTGATCGTCTAATCTCCCTCGACACCTCCTCTTCTTCTTCTGGGACCCACGCAACGGCGACATCTCGCTAGTTTCCCTGCTCATCTCATGGCTTTGGGGCATACTCCATGACTCTGCCGTCCCCGCCTCCATCATCTGGGTACTCGGCCCTGCTAGCGCCTCACCTCCCTCGGATCGGTCCGCTGGAGTGTCCAATCTCAACGGCCTACCCTCGCGGACTCCTCCCATCGCAGTCGCCTCCCCGTCCCTATGCAGGTCAGAAGGCTGGGGAGTCACGGCAGTCGCTGGCTCGCTCATAACTTCTTGTTGCTGCTCTGAGATGTGCTCTCCCGAGTCAGCTCCAGTAGCCCAAGAGCCTAACTGCGTCCTGAGCTCTCCTATCTCTGGCACACACTCTGGGGTCTTCTGTCTCTGAGGCTCTCCTGACGGCATGTCCAACTCCATAGCTACCACTAACTCATCCAGTCGAGATGCCTCTCCTCCCATTGCCTCCGGCTCAGTGGCTGCTACTGCTCCCGTAAGGGCACCCTCCTGCACCTCCAAAAAGATCGTAGGGGACTCCTCTATGGGGCCCCCTTCCTCCACTGGAGGTTGGGGTCCCTCCGTCGGCTCGCTCTCAGGGATCTCAATCGTCATAGGGGTGGCCTGTTGCGAGGCCAACTCCGTGGGAGTCATGAAGTTGAACCTCCTCTCCTCGGCCTCCCGCCTCGCTGCCGCCTCTGCTGGGTCCAGGAATACCTTCCCCATTCCCTGTTGTTGTGGCATCTCCGCCGTTCCTCCCTGGCCAAAGAGCCCCTGTACCTCCTTTCCCTGAATACCATACCGACTCTGCTCCGTCCAGTCGACCACCTTAGTGGCCGAGAACCTTTCTACTATCGCTACCATGTCCTGAAGCCTCTTCTCCCACTCCACCTCCTTGGCTTCCATGCGGGTCCTCCATGCCTGGTTCTCTGCCCTCTCTTCTGCCTGTTGGGTGGACAACTGTTCCACTTCTAACCTCGACGCCGCCAACTCATCGCTGAGCATGGAGTACCGTTGGAAGGACGAGATTGTCACCTCACCTATCCTCCTGTCTGTATGCTTAATCTCCATCCTGGCGGCTGAAAATCCCAAGTCCTCTGCCTCTCGTGCCTCGTCCAATCTTGCACTCCTCGGTCCTGCCTCTCGTGACCTCAGGCGAGCAGCATCCCTCTCGCTCTCATAACTGGCCCAAGCCTTACTAATCCTCTTCTCGCTCGTCGGAGGGTCAATTGGAGGCTTTGGCGCTTCTCCTGCGGCCTCCATCCTAAGCTTTTCCTGGTATAGCTCTTCGAGGCGCACCTGCACCCTCGCGCACTTCTCTTCTTTCGTTTCCCCCGGTGGCTTCCCTGTCCTCGCCTCGTGGCCCTCTCGCAGTTGATCTCTCTTACTAGTCCCCTCTTCTGCGGGTGGCGGCCCTGGCGGAGGCTCACCGGAGGTTGACACCTCCACTTCCATGCGTGCACCTGTAGGCTCAGTCAGTGGCGGCGCGACAGTAGTAGGTGCCCTCGCCCTCTCGCCCTCCTCTAGCTCCGTCTGCGTCGGGGTTGACGTAGTAGCTTCCGGTGGAGGCCCCAACACCTCCTCGTTGTCCGGCTCAGGAATTCCTTCAGGCCAATACTGCCGCGCCTGTTCTGGAATCGGGGTAGGAGGAGGGGTATCATCCCCAACAATGATAACCCCCTCATCCTGCGGCTCCTCGGGTTCGCGAGCCCCCTCCTCAGGCCCCGGCTCAGGTGGCTCCTCCTCTGGCTCATCCTCTACTGGCTCATACCGTTGTGAGGAAACCCGGGGAAGGGGCCCTATTCGTCGCTGAAGCCAGGGGGTACAGTGCCTGTCACTTCACTATCCCCGCTTCAGAGGTCCTCAACGACCAACACGGATCTAGGTAGGAGACGCCCTGTCACGCTACCTGTTTTTCTTTTCTCTTTTCTTCTTTATTTGGCATCTTCACACCACAAGGAGTTTCAATCAGTCAACAGTTAAATCGGCTGGTTCAGACAGTAATGAGTTCCAACAGTCAAACGGTAAATCACCAGGTTCAGACAGTAAGGAGTTTCAATAGCCAACAGGTAATTCAGTTGTTTCAAGCAGTAATAAGTCTCAATAGTCAACCGGTAATTCGACTGGTGCAGACAATAATGAGTTTCATCGATCAACTGGTAAATCAGCAGGTTTGCACAGCAAAGAGTCTCGGCAGTTCTCTTGCTGTTCTTCCTCTTTCTCTCTCGCGCTGTTCCCCCTCGTTGTTCTCTCAGTCTCTCCCGCTGTTTTCTCGCTCTCTTCTCTCTCTCTCTCTCTCTCTCTCTCTCTCTCTCTCTCTCTCTCTCTCTCTCTCTTGTTTTCCACCCTGTCATCTGGATCCTTTCTTCCTTTCTATAGAGTCTTCTTGGACACGTTCACTTTGTAGTGCTTCATGCCTTCTTCCTTTTCAAGGGTACACTTTGCCGGACGAATCTGACGTGGCGCACGGGCCAGGTTCATTTAGTCCAAACATCCGCCTTGGCAACTAACATCAAGGGCTCTCCCTGTGCCTTATGACATCTCCCCATCTGCCATGAACGTGGTCTGCTGGCTCATCCAGGTGCTTAAACAAATGAAATAGTCAAACAAATAAATAGATAAATAAATTAACCAATTTCCCATGAGTTGAAAGCAGGATTGGTTCGTGGGGATATACATTGACATGATCTGCGGTCTTGCGCTTCTATCCACCAGATGAAGCCGTAATGCATCTGCAGCAAGAACACTGGAAAATCACATTGCCATAATATGTACCTGAATTCAACCCGGCGAGCCTGCGCTATCCATCTCATCACGTGGTCGAAGTTTCCGGTTGGTCCGCGTCAATTCCCATCAATAGAATCAGATTAAAGGACTAAGTACAGTAACTGTCGTGCATACCAATCAGCCATCACTTGGTGTCTCTACCACTTTCGTACTCATCATTTCTCAACTTTGAGCGGCACAATGTGGCATTGACATGRCTCTATTGAGCCGAGCCAGATAATCATAGCCCTGACAACGTTTCAGATCAGGTCTACTGATCAAGCCCCAAAGCATGATGGATTCGACTGGCAAGACTGCAGTTCTGAGAGAGCAAAATGAACCCAGCGCATAACGTCATCCGGGTGCTTACCCTCATCTTCCTCTTCCTCACTCAAACGGACGCGCTCTCCCATGCTCACTCAAGAAGGCGCTTCCAACAGCGAGSGACCCTGRCACTAGACACATCCAGGTTCTTCCTMTTACAGAGGTCAGTTTGACCAAACATACCCCTCCGCGTTCTCTGTGCCAGGGAGCGTTCCAGATTTGCTGGTCCCCATGCACTCTCTTGTCACACTGGACCAGAACTGCACCGAGGGGGGCGGCTACAGGCTACTCATTAATAGGATGAAAACAAAAGCAACCCTGATTTGCTGACATGGCAAGGATGACATCCCCACCACGGTGGCTGTGTTCACCGTCTGTGGGATGGCTACCCCTCTCTCCTCTGAAAATGGTGGAATGGCTATTCCTCTCTTCTCTGAGAATGGGGGCTCTCGTGACCAACGGAAATGACTGTGTTCATCATCAGCGGGATGGCGGCGACTTTGGCGATTTTTCGTGCTCAGAGGAATCCACCAAATACTCTGAAAAGTTTACCACTGGTAAATTAGGTCGTGATCTTTCCAGGAAAAATAACAGAAAAATTAGAAAAAATCATTTATACCGAGAAACGAATACCGCGCCGATTCGTTTCATATTCGAGTTTTACCACAGCGGCGTTTGTAGGTCGACGAGAAAGCACTCCAACTTCTGCTTTCCACGTCTCTCTCTCCGACTGCACACTCTCTCTCTGCACACTCTCTGTCTATGTGCACTCTCTCTCTCATATCAGAGTTACACATACCTGTTTGCCTGCAAATTTGGTGATCTTAGTTAGGGAGTGGGAAAACTCGAATAGTTGATCGGCGGAAAGCTCAGCTGCCTAATCAGTGACTCTGGCCGTTCCCGCTAGCAGCAGAAATACTTGATTGACTGGCCAGCAGAATACTTGATTGCCTGATTAGTGGAGCTGGCCCCTCCCGCTAGCAGCAAGAACTCTTGATTAGCTGGCCAGCAGAAGATGCAGCTACACTCAGCTTGCGCCAATGAGGGTTGTGTACACCTGACACTCCCCCTTGTAATGTTCGACTGGCACATACGCATCAGCACTGATAGACGGGTCAAAAATCCCCCATCCCCTTGAATGACTCCCCTCCTTCTTCAGTTCTCCGACAAGCTCTGAAGTCAACCAAGCCAAATCACTACGTACAACTGGCGCACGTTCCCCGTTCGCTGAGCACCCACCACTTCGTCTTCCCTCTAGCCCCGATCATCTCGCGCACTATCCCTGAACTGCACCCCCTAGCGTAACTGCGCCGAGCACACCGTGCACACCTTGCTCACACCGAGTCCCCCCCTTTTTTTCCGCATATCTGCCCCGACTATATCCCTTGGGCCCTCAGCCGTTTTCAGCTTCAGCCCTACCAGGCCCGGTCCTGAGCAGTCACTGTACTAGTGTGGTCGGTCCATCCCAGGCCCAACGATATCAATTTGGGAGAACAGGTCCTCCACTAGCGAGGAAAATTAACATTACGGAGGCCTGGAAAGAAAATCGGTACCATGAAAACAGTTTCCCACCAGGGACCAAGTTCACAGGCTCAATTGTTGTAACCCCAAACAGTGAGTGTAACGTTACCGTACCAGAGCCACCGAGCCTGTGGCCAGGCTGGTCCCAAGCCACCGAGCCTGATTGTCGTGTGATGCCACACATACCTTGCCAGCCAACAGAGCAATCGAACCACGTGGTCATACCGATCTTGTGACCGTACCGTACTGCCCAGTGAACAACGCATTGCCAAACCAAGATCGAACTTTACCAACGCTGCTCACCACCGATAGAAGAATCACCGTAGTAGTACCGGCCCCCGGGTCTGAAAGTAGGTTTCGGTCAACAGTTCATCTCCATGCCGGGTCAATGTCGAACCTGCAAATAATGCAGCGGCGCGTACCTCTCTGATGTCGAACCACTGCTGAGTCTGAAAAATATCGAACACTGCAAAATACCACAATAGCCCATCCCTGTTCCACACTGTAGCAGCTCCTACGGAATACCGCGGAATGTAGACGTCGACCCTGAGTGTCGTGTCCTCACCGAATCATCACCGAACTTGAACCATACCAACCTCAAGGTAATACCTCGCCTGAAAATAAATCAGGTTCCGAACCTGATAAAATAAATGACCGTAGTGGTCCCGGACCTGGTAATAAATGTCGGTGATGTATCTGAACCTGAAGTACGCTGATGCTGAGCTCATGCCGAACCAGAACTATGTCTGGCACTGAGCCAAATACCACACTGTCGGTCCAAAGTAGCACCATCCCACGCTGTCCACTCGGACATCCTCGGATCACCCCGACTCAGTAAGGTTAGTAATCAGGTAAATTAGGAAAGTGACAGGGAAAATCTCGACCATCGGGGAATAGTGAAAAAGGTTTGAACCCAGAAAAAACGATCAATCCAGGAATAGAGCTAATGGTGGATAATCCAGGCAGAATCAGGCCAAACTTTTAATAATCCTCAGTTCTCGTCCCTTTCATTGCTTTTAGGATCCCTCCTTTTTCCTAATACTATTGTCTGAAATTGTAATATATCCGTAAGTCCACCAAAAATACCCGCCGAGGGAGTTTTAATAAAACAGACGAAATTATTTTGTTTCTTTTCCTTTTTTATCGTTTTTAATCTTTTCCTTTGTTTTCGATTCCATTGCCGGAAAACATAAAATAACGGGGTATTTTCCCCAAA